GGTGTCTTTCACAAAAGCTCTGGGTTTGATTGAGAAAATATTTAAATACTGTGCACCTAGTGAATCCACTGCAAGTTAAACCTAAATATTTTCTTTTTAGCTGTTAAAATTAAATCCTTGGACTGGCTGGAAGAATGTTCAGATTCATATTTGAATTTTTTTCAGTGTTTCTATAGAAGATCTAGGCATATGCCAGAAAAGCCTTATGGCCTTTATGAAAAATATTCCATAAACTCAACACCAGGTTTAATGAATATTCCAATTTTTCTACTGGTATAGACTACTTGAGTTTGGTCATGGGATGAGAAGCTCCACACGTACACCACACCTACATAAGGCAATTTAAATTATGGCAGCATCTCTATAAATTAGTACATCATGTTAATATTATCATTCTGTACTGGCATACCTGCAGCCACATTAGACATCTGTGAAGGTGTCTGCTGCTCATGAAAAGAAAACAAACCCAAAACTAATAAAAAAAAAAAAACTTGTGATGAAAAAAGTTTTCTTTTTTTTTAACAGTAAAAATGGTTTGGGGATTTTTTTAGTAACTGAGATTTCACACTGACAACCTAGGGTAAGATGTCAACTTGCTATAAAAATGAATATTAAAGTTTAATATGCCAGTATYTGAGGGCCTATAGTAGCAGATGTGACCTGTTTTTCCTAATTTGTTAGCACAAAAAAAATTCCTGTGTCATTCTAAGGTCAGTTCAAGCTTTAAAGAGGTGATGCTGTAAATGTGTAGGAATAACCCAGAGCTGCCAGCTTCTCATTTGAGAATTTCAGTTTTCACTTGACAGGCTTCAGCTTGAATGAACAGTAAATTATAAAGAATCAAGAGAAGGGGTTTAACCGAGTGTCAGCAGAGAAGTATTTCTTGGAACAAAATTAATTGTCATTCATCACATCAATTAAAAGTTGGGAAGCACGATTCCATGGCAGTTTAAAAYTGTTTCAGTCACAGCTGACTCATTGCTGTAATTTATTCCTTCCCCTGCATCAACTGCACAGTCCCATCTACCTTTGCACTGATTTGATTGTGGTAAATCAGTTCGGGGAGCTGGAGGACGACAGAGAGCCTACAACAAAGCAGCAATTAGCTTTCAGCCAGCTCCCATCGCTCCATGATGTGCTGCCACAAATGCCAAGGAAGTGGGTAAGGAACCACCTTCAGTGCTTGGATCAGKGCTCGTTCTGGTAATAAAGAATAAAGAATGGACTCTGCACCCTGCAAACCTGACCGATGCTTTCAGTGGGCATTTAAAGAGAGAAGATCTGCAGGGCAGACACTCTCTTACTTCTTGCTTTTGTGTTGTATTTTAAATTAAATTAATGATTTAGTAAACCTATTCAAAATGCAGATAACTGTAATTTCCACAAAAAAGACAACTCATCTGCTCCTGGTATCTCTTCCAGTTTTATCTTAAAACCTGTCATTAATCCTGCCTTAACCATATTCCAACCACCTCTTTATGCCTGCACAGAGAGCACTCATTATTCAGTCAACTAACAAAACCATCCTTTAAGCACCACACCTCAGGTTATCAAAATTCTACCTCTGATTTCTCTTCTGGCCCGCCKTAGACACGAAGTGCCCTACTAAAAACTATGTGTCAAAAGCAAGAACAGTGTAACCTGGTGCAGCTGATGAAGTTACAACCTGCCCCTCAATGACAGCCTTTTGGGTTAAAAACAAACTGGGTTTCAACTTGATTTCCCCAAACTGCTCCTTGTGTGTGATCGAATACAAAATTGGGACGGTGAACTTCCCAGCCATCTCAAGCTTTATTTCCATGCAAGTGCTATGTGGTTACTCAGAAGTCAATTCAAACCAAATTTGAACTGTGAATATTCATGTCAGAATTCTGGGATCTGCCTCTGAACCTGCAGTACTGAGGGAAACACGTGTTGAAGAACGCAAAACCTACTTTTTAAAATGCAAATCCATGAAAAAGACTTTCGCCTTTAAATGGTTTTGGTTTCAGTGTAACTCACAATTGCAGGAAAAGTTCTTCATCTTTCTGAGTAATTCAGTTAAAGTTCAGAAAMATCAGTGGAGTTGTAAGCAGAGAGGTTTGTTGTCCTCCTTCAAAGCCATAAAACCTAAGACACAGATCTCAGTCTAGCCTATCAAGTTTATGGAAAAGGGAACAATTTCTCCAGCAGCTTTAGGCAGCTAAGGATGCATATAAGTACCATGAGGATTTTGTAAAGGATCTTTAAGCCGGTTAGRCAGCTAACTCCCATTTTTGTTAACAGAAGATAAGCGTCTAACCCGATTAGAGACTTCTAAATCC